TTACCTAGAATTGCTTTTGCTATTCTGGGTCTCTTCTTGTTCCAAATGAATTTTTGGATTGTTTTCTCAAGGTCCGTGAAGTATGCTTGTGGGATCTCAATTGGAATTGCATTGAATCTATATAGCAGTTTTGGAAGTACGGCCATTTTCACTATATTAATCCTTCCTACCCAGTATCAGGGGATGTCTGTCCATTTTCTGATATCATCTTCAATCTCTGAGGTCCTTTTTCTTTAAATGTTGAGACAAGGTCTAGCTAAGTCACTGAATTGCCCAGGCTGTGTTCAAACTTGTGATCTTCCTTTCTCACCTCCCAGAGTGCTGGAATTATAGGCATGCACCACCATGCTCACTTCTGAAATATTTTTTAAAAGAAATATTTATTTATTTTAAAGCCTTCAGCTTTTTCCAGTGAGCAGCCAGGTTTGAGAATCTGAGCCTTAAGAAATAAATCTACATCATATTTGGTTTGTACTAGAATTCTGTCATATATACATTGATTCAAATGTAATGTTGACTAGAATTTGTTAATCTTTTGGGTATAGAGTTATTGCTGTATTAGGGTCAAGCACAGATATTGATGGGAGTTAGGAGAGTGGATATTAAAGGTTAGTTTGTCTAGGGAGAAATGAATGGTTAACAAGATTGATGTGGATTTTCAACCATCAGCTACTTATTGCACTGGGAATGGTTTTCAGATATTACATAAAATCTTAAGGTAAACTATGGAATCTTCATTGATGATTTTTTGAGCAAAAAAAAAAGTGTTTGAAAGGCTGAGAAATCATAAGCAGTTATGAAGAATTACTTTTTTATTTTCCAGTAACCAAGCACACATCTTGTCCTAAGAAATGTGTTCACACTGTATATTCTCTATCAAAGGAATTATCTTTGTCTCCCTTTGCCTGACTGAAAATTAGAAATTGTTGTTCCTATTCTTAAAAATGAAGTGATTTTTACTCAGAAGTAGATTGATTTTCTCCTTTTTAGAAACACATACCTTCGCCACTAAGAAACTATTTTAAAGCCCTAAACAAACCCAACAAGTTAGTTATAATAGCACCTTATATGGTCTGGGATATTAGTGTTATAGATGTAACAGAGCCAGTCTAAAGAAGTGTTTTCTAGCAACTATTTTAGAATATGTCACATTTCTGTTTCCAGCTTCTTCCTTTGTGGGTTTCTATCAGGCCAATTTCTATGCATGTATTTTATACATACCTCAACTCTTCTACCCCATCCCCATCAAACTAGTTGCCTTCCCATATTAGAGTTTGGGTTAAACAAATTCAATATAGGCATAAGTAAAATGAAATTTCTAATAGAATTTCACTAAGATCACTGATATTGATTTATTTATTCTTCCGTTATCAAAGACTTCTCTTCTTTGTTTGTTTTGTTTTGGGGTGTTTTGTTTTTTTTTTTGATACAAGGTCTCAGTTTGTAGTCAGGCTGACCTTGTCACTATGTAGCCCAGGCTGATCTCTAACATGCGGTGATCCCACTGCCTCAGCCTCCTGAACCCTGGGATTACAGGCTTGTGCCACCATATCCAGCTCCCCACTTTGTTCTTTTTCTTCATACTAATTTGGAGAGCTTTCTACCCCAGTATACTCCCATTCCTTGTTCCTTAGTGATATCCCAGAGTGCTGGGATTAGAGGCACAACACCTGGCTATGATTTTGGTCTTATTGCTTTTGTTTTCATTGTATTTTGTATGTTAGTAGGACTTACCATATTGCATATAAGTGAGTGGATTTCTACTGTACCACATACAACTCTTATCAGAACCTGTGAGCCCTAGCAGCAAATTTAGCAACTGACAAGGTTTAAGGAAGATTTGTGATTATTTATGAATTGTTCAATCACTACTGGCATTTTGGTATATTTTCTTATAGTCTTTTCTATTCATCCATATTTATATATATTATATATGCGTGTTTATGTATATATGTTTTTAGATAGTGCTTGTTATTATGAGCATTTCCTAATCTTTTCAAATATTTTTCAAAGATATGATTTGAAGAGCTGAATAATGGACCATGTGGATTTACCCACATTTATCTAATCATTCCCTTTTAGTCAATCATTTAAATTATTTGTTTTTCTATTTTTTAATTAAGTGAAAAAATCTTTATAACTCATAAAACTTTGTGGACTTCTCTGGAAGTTTCTGTGGAATAAATTCCTAAGAAGAGAATTACTTGGTCAATGGTTAAAAATATTATTGCTACAGATTTTTTTTATGCTACAGATTTTTTTAATTCCCTCTAGAAAGTTACCAATTTATATCCAATGACATTTCGTGTGTTTTGCTATAATACAACATTTTGTCTGCTAAAGCCCCTGGTGTTTGTCTCCTTAATGACTTTATTAGAATAAGCAAGTGAGAATCACTTTTGGATTCTCTTGCAAGAAAAGTAACCACTTTGGAGTAATGATGTATCATAACAACCGGCTCATAAAGTCTTTTGAGAAGGTGGGATGCCAGGTAAAGGTGAGTGCTTTGTTTATTTGTCATAGAAGATTAAATATTGTAGGAAGAGAGTTTAAAATTTGTAAAGAGGATAGATTCATTAATGATTTTTATTCCCATCTCATGATGGTTGTTAAATTCTGATACTGGAATTCTGTGTTACCAGTGAGCCATTTTGTGTAGAAAAACTTGTGCTACTTTTCATTCTTCACAGATACTAAACCAGGAACTTCACTAAAATGTATTTGCTAGGTGGCTGTTAATAAAAGAGAGAGTTAGAATGCCAGCAACTTTGCCAGGTGCATCAGCTTATTAGTTGTAAGATAGCTCTATTATCTTAGGGAGATAATAAGGAGTAATAGAAGGTGGCATAAAATTTGGTGGTGAATTTTTCCTTTCCCTTCTTTCCTTTCCCTTCCCCTCCCTCTTCCCCTACCCCTTTGGAGCTTTTCTTCCTATTTCAAATTATCAATTAGTCGTTTTAATCATTTTAATCCTTGAGAAAAGAAAAAAATGGAAACAAAGCCTATGTAAATAGGGAAGGGCTCACAGGTAATGGGGAAAAAATAAGAACCAAGCTACATCATGTACAGGTACAAGCACCCAATGATAAATGTAAATGTATTGTATTACCTAAAGTGTACCAATAAAAGAATTTAAGGAAAAAAAAATTTGGTGGTGAAGACCAAGAGTTGAGTATAGGATGTTCTTCTTACAAGCTATAGCCTTGGATAAACTATTTAATTTTTCTGAGGCTCAATTTTTCTACCTGTAATATGGAAACAATATTAATCTTTCTCTACCTCAGAGTTAAAAGATTTAACTGCTGTGCTATGTACATGTAAAGTACCAACTCTGTATGGGAATGTAATCATTATGTGGTGCAAACATGTACTAATAAAAATTGGAAAAAAGAGAAAGATTTAACTGGGATAAATTATGTGAAAATATTTTATAAATAAAACTATATAAATGTTACCAATATTTTTAATGGTTTAATGATGATTTAAAGTGATAATTTTCACAAGTATCCCTTTTTTGGGGGGCGGGGGGTACCCGGGATTGAACTCGGGACCTTGCACTTGTGAGGCAGGCAGCAGAAACACTCAGCTAAATCCCTGGCCCTATCCCTTTCATTCCCTACAGATTAGATGCTAAAGCACAACAAATGATAGCCTGCTTTATATTACATAGGAGGATATTTACATAAAGATAGCTAATTTTTGGCCTATCTTGGGTTTTTCCCTTTTTACACATCTTAAGACAACTCATGCTTGTGTGACAGTCTATAATTACACCTTAACTCAGTTCTTTCCATTAAAGCATAAAAAAAATTGTTTAAATTCCCAAACGTCTTATATCAACTTATCATTAATAATTACTATAAATCTGATTTTCTGGTGGTTGTTGGGTAGCCTGTATATCTGAGGAAAATGCTTACTTTAATAGATAGTGTGAGAACTTGATGATGACATAAAATTTTTTCCAGATGAAGTTTCATTTGTTTCTTACAAAGAGCAGTATATAATCTTGATTTTTATAACAGCCTAATTCTTTATTCAAAAGAACTCTTAGGAAACCCTAGAATATAAAACAGATGAAAGTGAAGGTTGTGTGAATGAAATAGTTATTAGTCCTTAAATAATCCTAGAGATAAGTGAGTCATTGGAAATCTCTGCTTTAGAATTTATTAGTTTCTAGTTCTATACAATACTTGCAATGTATTGAAGTACATTCTGAGTGTTTCTCTAGATCTTGATAGCCTTCCTTTGCCCATAAACATTATGTAACCTTTCTATTATTGTTTAGAAAAAAAAGGAAATGACTTTAGGCAGTCAACAGTAAAGTGTTGAAATTAATATTTTTCTTCTAAGCCAACTCATGGAGAAGGAATGGGAGTAATTGGAGTCATTGAGTGCAATTTCCTAAAACCTGCCTATAACAAACAAGATTTTGAGTACACCAAGGAGTACCGGTGAGTCATTGCCAACCTGAGGTGTTTCTGATTAATTTTTTCAGATGTGATTCTATTCTCTGAAACCTCCACAACCATCTCTAAAAACCAGCTGAATAACTTAACTGAGAATTACTTGAGGTCTGTTGTCCAAGATTAGAGATAAAATTATTTTATTTTTAAATTAAAGCTTACTCATTTCATATGTAAGTCCAGTTGAGATAAATCTTACCTTTACAAATTATAGCAAGAACACAGTCATTTGGTAAAATAAAGAGCCTTATTGATTTTGATTTAAAAACATGAGTGGATCTGAAAATACTAAGTATGTTGGGGGATATTTTTTGAAGTGTGTTCCAAAAATTTTTGTTGAATTCAGTAAATAGACTTAGAAGAAAGTATTGGAACAGCAAGAAAGATGTGTGCTTTCATGGGAGCATTTTGATTAACTAGAGAAGACAAACAGGTTAAGGATCAGAAAGGAACTTGACATTGCATCTGAACCAGTAGGGATATTTTTATGAGCTGAAGAAAGGAGTTATGAAAGCCAAGTTAGAAGAGATATTTTTAAAAACTCTGGGAAGGAAGGATCATTCATTCCTTCTTTCATCAAGTATTAAGAGATACTGCCTATATGTGAGGTATGAAGTAAGAGTCCTTGATGCCTATGAATGAGTGTGATAAGATATATACCAATGAGAAACTTATATATCTACAAAATAATTTTGTTAATGAGACACATATGCAAAATGGGGAGAACTTTTAAATATACCTAAAGGAATCAAGGAAGGCTTCACAAGTCAGATTATATTTGAGTTTAAACTTGAAGGAAAAGTTGAAGTTTTTTAAGTGGATAAATAGGAGAAGGACATTCTAAGTGGAGGGAAATACATGTAAGGCCAGAAAAAGGCACAGGGTGTCCTGGAAGTATGGAAAAAAGTCACGAGGATAGTTGATGTCACAGTTGAAAACTTTTTTTTTTTTTTTTGGTGCTGGGGCTCAAACTCTGGTCCTTGCGCTTGCGCAGCAGGTGGCGAAACCACTGAGCTAAATCCCCAGCCTCACAGTTGAAAACTTTTGATGTCACAGTTGAAAACTTTTTCTTAGAGTGGGAGAAAAATAATTTCTCAAATCTCTTTTTGTGTAACCAAAACTATAATAAAGTTAGTTAATTAAATGTTGTATATCGATTTATCTGGAACCATAAAAACTCTAGGTTTAATGTTTGACAAAGAGATAAGTATTTGAATGGCAACCCCAAATTAATTTCAGTGTAATTGGGTTTTGGTCATTCAGGCTATTCAGTGGTTATGGCACCTAGGTGCCCTCAGTCTAAATAAATTGGTCATTTAAATGTGAGTCTGGGGCCAGGGATTTAGCTCAGTGGTTCCACCGCCTGCCTCGCAAGCACAAGGTCCCGAGTTTGATCCCCAGTACCAAAAATCAAAAACAAAAAAACAATAAATATGAGTCTGACCTATAATGGAGATCTTTGACCAAGACTTGACTCTTAAGAGTACAAGTGTAGGGCTGGGGATTTAGCTCAGTGGTTTCGCCGCCTGCTTCACAAGTGCAAGGACCCGAGTTTGATCCCCAGTACCAAAAAAAAAAGAGTACAAGTGTATAAATGACATTGATTTAACAGAAGTCTCAAAGCCAAGTCGTTTTCTTTCTCTTGAGTAAAAGGAGCAGTGAACTTCTGGTGGTTACCTAAAAATTAAGACTTGTAAAATTTAAATGTTAGATATTAAAAATTATTTAACATATTTCTATATAATCTTTGCCACCCTACCACCTCATATCTACATTTCAAATTCTGGACACATTAGACCCTTGGTTTTCAATATCTAGTTTTGGTATGATGAGTTTCAGGTCATTGCCAAGAATCTAAAAAAGAGATACTCCAAATATTTATTCAGTTAAACATATAGGATTTCTAGCTTAAGAAGCTTGCTATATGCCACATAATTTATTAAAAATAAAGAACTAAATACTACCCTGCACACAATGTTTTGGGGATAATACATTTGCATAATTCTTTCCAATTCTGACATTGCTCCACCCCTTTTTGATGCTGGGGATTTAACCCAGGGCCATGCATATTCACTCTACCACTGAGCTACACCCTCAGCCCTGTTGCTGTTTTATGCTCAATCTATTTTACATAAAATGAAAGGGTGTTTAGATAAAAATATGGAAATTTGAAAGAGGGTTTAGAGAAAGTTGCTATGAAAAACAGATTCTATGAGTATTATGGATATCAAAACTCTAAATCATAAAAGAAATCCCAGCAATTATAGTGCTTGAATATCTATAAATAAATCATCTGTATTATCATTTTTAACACTTATGGATATCAGATTTCAGCTGCAACAAAACATTTTTCACATGAAGTTCATCATAAGAAATACATATTAGTTGAGCACTCCAGTGGTACATAATACCGTGGCTAGGCCTTGTGGAATTTTCCAAAGAAATTCAAGACATAGTTGCTTGCTTTCTGATTTCTTTCTTTTTTGTCACATATATGAAACAAATTAGATAATAATAAATGACTCTTTGATCATTTAAAACTTAACTAATACAGTGTAAAATAGGGTAGATTTTAGGTAAAAGTATGACTTTAGATAAACCTTAAATGATAGAAGATATTTAGAGAAAAGAAGGAAAGGAATTCCAGGATGGAGTTGTAACATGACCTAAGGTAGCGACAGGAACTCATAATGGTAGCAGTATGGGAGTGAGGACAAAGGAATGTCACTGGAGTGAAGGGAAATCAAGTTAGATGGATAGAGTAGGGCCAAATCCTAGAGCAGGAACTACCAAACATTTTCTGAGAAGGACCAGAAAGTAAATATTTTGAGCTTTGAGGCCATATGGACTCTTTGTGTCCAGTATAATTTTGTTCACAAAAACAGGCAATGGATGGGATTTGCCTCCAGGCTGTAATTTTCTGATCCTTGTCCTAGAACCACAATTCCTAAACTATGTGCCAAGCTACACATAATGAATTCACGGAGAAGCCATGAGATATTTCACATTTTTGTGGGAAATAGAGTGACATTCAACTCCAGTCTATGAACAATAGAAAGGGTCTTGTATTGTAACAAATTACCACAAATGTAGTGGCTTAAAACAACACTAACTTATGTCTTAGAATTCTGTAGTTTGGAAGTCTGACACAGAGTTCACTGGGTAAAATCAAGGTGAAGGCAAGCTGTATTCCTTTCTGGAGGTTAGGGGAGACTCCATTTCCTTTTCCAGTTTCTAGAGGCTGCCAGTATTGCTTGGCCTAAAGCCTTCTTTCTCCAGTTTCAGTGTCAGCAATGATGGCTTGAGTTCTCCTCATATTGTGTCATTCTGGTGACCTTGACTCTTGTCATCACAACTCCTCTAATTCTGACTCTTTTGCCTCACTCTTCCACTCTCAAAGACCCCTGTGATCTCATTGGATAATTTAGGACAATCTTCCTATTTTAAGGTCAGATGATGATTAACCTTAATTCCATCTGTAATCTTAATTCTCCCTTGCTATATGACCTAACACAGTCACAAATATCAGGGATTAGGTCATAACATCTTTGGAGGACTGTTATTTTGTTTACCATAATCTGCCCTCTGGTCTCCTAAGATTTACTTTTTGTATGTGAAATGTGCACCCCATCCCAGCATTCTAAAAGGTTCACCCTATTACAGTGTTAACTGAGAGTGGAAAATTTCAGCTAAGTGTCATCAGCTCAGAAGTTCCAAGTCTCATTATCTAAATCACATATGGGTGATACTGTGAGTATGATGGTCTTGGAGCAAAATTCCTCTCCATCTCTGGATGTCTCCCTCCTGCTTCCATCCGTCCCTCTCTCCCTTCTTTTCTTTTCCTTCCTCCCTTCCTTCCTTCCTTCCTTCCTTCCTTCTCCTCCTCCTCCTCCTTCTTCCCCCCCTCTCCATTTTACACCTAAAATACAGTAGTGGGACATGATACATTAGTGGGACATATTCTAGGTCAAGTGGGAGGAAAATGGAAGAAAAAAAGGAATCACCAAGCAATTTCAAACATCCAGCTCGGCAAATTCAATTTCATTTCAGAGACTGGGAATTTAAACTCTGGAGCTTGTAGCTCTGCCCTCTGGGCTTATGGTTTCACCCTCAAAATCATTACCTTGTTCATGAAATTCGTGTGTTTGCAGCTGAGTAGTTTCATCAGTCTGTTTTCTGACTGTAGAATTGTTTAGATCCAACAGGCTTCTTTCATTTTGTACTCTTCCCATACCTTTCAGTCCAATCTAGAAGAGTGTGTGTTTATACCATTCTCAAGAACCTTGTGGCTCTTCCTGAGTTACAAATATTCACACTCTCCAATAAGAGACTCTTTTTATTTTTTATTTTCCAATAAAAGACTCTTGACACATATTTCCTAGATAATATCTATTCTTGGCTTCAGCTGAGATAGCTGTGGAGATCTGAGTCATGTACTTAATCATTTCAAAAAGCCTTTTGTGTGAACAAATACTCTCGAGAACCTTTTGATCTTAGCAAGATATTACCAAAAGGTTTTTCAACCTCATCTGCAGCTTTTTCTATAGAGCATTCTTTCTTGACAGTCAGTATCTAAATTTGTCTTAGTTACTTTTTCTGTTGCTGAGACAATACCCAACCCCAAACATTAGAGAAGGAGAGATTTATTTTGGCTCAAGTTTGTAGAGCTTTCAGTCCATAGTGGGCTGGCTCCAAGGCAGAATGGCATGGTAGAGGGGCATTGCAGAAGAGAAACAGACCATGGTAGAACAGGAGGGAGGGATCAGGCAGCAAGCAGCAAGCCACTCTTTTTCTTTGGTGCCACCCACATTCAGAATGGGCCTCCCCATTAACCACACCCAGAATTATGCTAAATCAGTTTAGTTATCACATACCTTTAATCCTTGTATCACACCCTTAAGCCACATTCACACACCTTAGATCCATCACCATCAAAAAGCCCCACCTGTGAGCACATGAAGCTTTGTGGAGAACATCTAGATACAAGC